GCTTGGCCAGGCTAGTTCCAGATTCTTATTGGCTAGCTCTTACATATTGTTCTAACCCATTTCTAATAATGTGTGTAAGCACCCCAAGGTGCGCTTACCGGGAAGATTCTAGCCTACTTGGAGGAGCTTCATTGCGTGCATCTGCCCGGGAGAGCTGAGCATGGCGCGGAGCAGAGTCTGACCTCACTTCCTCTTCCGCCCAGCATCCTATTCTGTTTATTCCGCCCACCTATGTTCTAAGCTATGAGGCCAAGCAGTTGGTTTATTATTACTTAACCAATGAAATCAACAGATTGATATATGACACTCCCACATCAGCCCTGTAGGATCATGGGTCACAAAGCAGCTGTGAAAATGCAGAGACATGGTATCAGCAAGGCTCACTCTAGTGCTTTTCAGAATCACAGCAACAACCATAAATGCTAAGCAGCCTATCCCTAGTGACCAGGTCGTCAGGCAATACCAAGAAATAACCCACATAGTCAAGGAAATCCCAGGGACAACAGCAACAGCTGCAAAAAGTGTCAGTAGCCAGATTACCTTGAGGAGGAAAAGGGGGAAATGAGAGCGTAAACCCCATTTGAGTGAAGAAAACTACATACATGTTAGAAAGAAACCAGACGGGAATAGACCCGAGTCTTTGTAGTGGTCGCCTTTGTGAGCCTTCTTCCGACACTGCTCTTCATTCCTTGGCTTTCTAGGATGAACTCATTTCATGTGTGGGTAAAAAACTCTCAGCAAAGATCAGGAAGAGGTTCTGCTCTCCTGGGCTCCAGACTCTTCCTTCTCCACCACGTTAGGAAGCTGCTTTGTGCCCATCACCCCTTGAAAGGGAAGGCAGGGGGCTGGAGAGATGGCTCAGAGGTTAAGAGCATTGCCTGCTCTTCCAATGGTCCTGAGTTCAATTCCCAGCAACCACAGTGTAGCTCACAACCATCTGTAATGGGGTCTGGTGCCCCCTTCTGGCCTGCAGGCATACACACAGACAGAATATTGTATACATAATAAATAAACAAATATTTTAAAAAAGAAAGGGAAGGCAGTGCCACATCATGAAGCAATCAGCCAGTAGGGCTCGTCGAAAAGCAACAAGCTGGCCTCTCAGAGAAAATTAGTGAGCCTCTGGAAACTGGACCCAGAAACCCAGTCGAGTGATCCAATGCACATCCTTCAAGAGTCTGTGCCACATTCATTACGCTTTCGGGTGTGAGCACTTTCTCTTCAATTTCATCTTAAATGTTTCGGGTCATCACAATTTCACTGCTACACTTTTGACCAGGCATCAAGCTATTAATCCAGCTTCCCTAAGTGGAAGAGAACAAAACTAGCAAACTCCGAAGATGCCCATCTAACTTTCTTGTGTGGATCTGTTAGCTGGGAAAAAAAAAAAATGTCTTAACTGTAGTTAAATGCCTGTACTTCCACTTAGACCCTAAGGAGACTTCTTATCTGAATCATGTTAGACATGCCCACTTGTGAACCATCTAACTAATACAGAGTTGCAGACACTGGGGCAGGGGGAGAAGGCTCAACCGTTAAGAGCAGTGGTAGTGGCACACACCTTTAATCCCAGTACTCGGAAGGCAGAGACAGGCAGATCTCTGTGATTTCGAGGCTAGCCTGGTCTGCAGAGTGAGTTCCAGGACAGGTTCCGAAGTTACACAGAGAAACCCTGTCTTGAAAAATCAAAAAAGAAAAGAAAAGAGCACTTGATGCTCTGTCAGAGGTCCCAAATTCAGTTTACAGCACACACTTCAGGCAGTCCACAACCTCCTGGAACTCCATCCTCAAGGGATCCAGCGCCCTCTCCTGGCCTCTGCTTGTACACACACAGGTAGCCATACATACACACAGGCAGGCACACACACACACACACAGAGTAAATCATTTTTGAGTTGCAAGGATTAAATGAGATGTGCACATAAGGAATTCATTGTGTGCATACAGAAATCACTCCTTAAATGTTTGATAACTCTGGTAAACCGGACAGTTGTCTGGCAGAGGCGCCAATCTCGTCATTTCTATTTCCCCCCCCGCTGACACTAATAGGTTAGAGTTGATGGCACAACTCATGACCTTGAGAAAGCAAACTTCCGCTTGGTACCCAAAGCTAAAGTTTGGTCCCACCATTAAATTAACCGGCCTCAGATCACAGGAGGGGCACTTCCCGGTGTTGGTAAGAGCCAGAACTGGAGCACTGGCTGGAGCAAGGGAGAAAGAAGACAGAGTGCAGAGTCACACGTGAGATGGGATCAATAGGGCTTGATGAATAGCCCTTAGAGAGGCTGGGGGAAGAAGAATGGAGTCCGCGAGCTCCTGACTTGATGATTAAATACGACTCTCGTTCACTCGGTGAATTATCTTCTGTGCACACACTATGGTCCAGGGCTGTTCTGGGTGCAGGAGCAATCCCAGTCCAGCAAAGAGGAAAAAGATCAGCTCGTGGAGTTTTCTAACTGGGGAGACTGGCATAACAGACAAAGAAACCAAGAAAATAACTGACCATGATAACTGAGACAAAGACAACAGACAAGCCAATGAGGAGACGAATAATAAGACAAAGTCTATTTCAGATAGGATGGCCCCCTGAAGAGGTAACCCATGGGGTTCCCGAAGGAGATGGAGCCAAGAATCAGGGAGGAGGGAGACAATCCTAAGAGGGGAAGAGCAGGCTACAGACTGAGGGGTGGGAAGGGTGAGGAAAGCCTGTGCAGCTGAACCTTGAAGAGGGAGGGGCTAGCAGAGAGGCTGGAGGAGAAGGCAGGGCTGTTAGTCGGGGATGGGCCTTGAGAAGCAGGCTCTGAGGTGGAGCTTAAGGTACTGTGAGAAACCTCCAGCCTAACGATCCAAGGCTACGACCTAAAATCTAGAACTGAGATTGGAGAAAGTGCCCGATTGCGCCAGAATTGACAGAGGATTTCAGAAATAATGGATTTCTCGGGCACCAGAAAATATAGGTTTCTAGATCCAGAATTGCCCAGAGCCTGGAGTTTCTTCAATGCTGTGGTTCAGGAATATTTCCTGTCTCCCTCCCACGTGTTAGGATAAATCTAAGCGCTGGAGATGCACGTAAGAGGTAAAGAAAGAATACACCCTAAATGAGCGTTGTGACCCTCACACAAAAGTAGCCATGCTAATAAAATATCACCCAACAGTAACTGGACCTACTCTTGATAAGACCTGTCTTGAGAAAATGACTTTGAACTGCGAGGTGAAGAAAAAGGAGAGGCTGTCTGGGAACGAGCATTCTGGGCAGAGGGAACCACCATGGCAAAGGCCAAATGGGAGCCTGGGTGTGGTGGTACACTTATAATCCCAGCACATGGGGTGCTGAGGCAGGAGGATCACTGTAAGTAAAAGGTCATCCTAGGCTACAGAGTGAGATCCTGTCTCAAAAACAAAATATGAAAACACAAAAAGACTGAGTCTAATCTTTTGGTTTATCTGAACTTGATTAGCCAGCCAACATAGAGAAGAGGGAGGGCGTGGTGAAGACGGTGCTGTCTCATCTCTGGGTGTTCCTCCCGGAAGCTTGTCCCGGGCACCGTTCCTCACACAGATACAAAAGGTCAGAAACACGATTTTTCTCTCCTCTCTCTCTCTCTGTGTCTCTCTCTGTAGGGCTCTCTCTGTGTCTCTCTTATGTTTCTGTGTATGTGTCCTCTGTCTCTCCCTTTGCCTCTAGGTCTCTGTGTCTCACTGGACTGGCAGTTCAGAGAAGCAAAGAGGTGAGTCCAGTTGAGTAAGTATGACCGCCATGCTTTGTAAGCAAGAGCGTCCTAGACAATGATGTTCATGTTCTGAGAGAGCCGTGATGATTAATACCTCTGAGTATGGTGATGTAACTGCTTTTGAAATCATGTGTCTTAGTGTTGTTATCATTTTTATGGTCCTACCAAGCTCCGAATATCTGGATTTCAGATGAAATATCTGTGACAGTGAATTCTGGGTCTGAGATACTGCATAATCCTTTCCAATCATTTCTTCTCTAAGAAACCAGAATCCTGAACGACGCTAATATTTATTGAGCATATACATTTCCCTGGCTTTCTGTGCAATTTCATGCCTCCTGGCAATGTCCAGGTAAGGCATGAACCATGACACACACATTCTTTTTCAAATGTAGAAATTGGGTACGGTGATGGGGACTTTATCCTGTGACCAAGCTGCATCTAGGCAAAGTCTCAGTTCCGATTTCTTGGGAATGGCTGAGATCTTAACACAGCTATTTTCTTGGCCCCAGGAACCAAAGCCCAGATCTCTCTCTCTCTCTCTCTCTCTCTCTCTCTCTCTCTCTCTCTCTCTCTCTCTCTCTCTCTCTCCCACCACACCCACACACCCACACACACACACAC